TTGAAATGCGCCTCTTTTGGACAAAAGACATTATAAACACTCCCAAACACCAAATTACAAGTGGTTTAGACACACTGAACATGAAAATGGTGTCCGTGACCCTTGTTTATGCCCTGAGGTCATCTTAGGTCACGAATGGTATCTGACAGTTTTTCGCAAATAACTTTTGATAGAGGCATGCTAGAGCGATGAAAACGCCTTAGATGTGTTCAGCTCGACGATACGGATCGACTGATATGCAACATGACCCTTTCCGGTCAGGTCATGACCTTGACCCGAGGTCAAATTTTCAAGTTGACCTTTCAAGGTCAAGTTATAGTTCATTCGATGCGTCTTGACGAGAGGAACACAATGCCGGTAAAAGTAAGCTCGTACAAGGCTTGGGTCAAAAGTTATTGCAGAAAAACTGTTTCCGAAAAAAATCGGCTATTTTTTGCAATTTTTACCCCCTGCAGGCAAAACCGTTGACGTTAGGTCAAATCTGAGAGAATTACCCAGAAAGGCCTTTAATAGGGCTATCGAATGCGCTTTTCCGCGGCGCTGTAGTTCTATTGGTTCTCGAGTTATGCGTTGGCTTCTTGGAAATTTTTGACATTCGACCTGGAAATCGGCGAAATTTTGCCTTCAATGACCTCTGGTGACCTGACCTTTGACCTGACCAAATAATTGACCGAAGTGATATTATTTTTGACGCTCTTTCGAACGCCGCCTTCCGCGTATCGCTACGTGGCCCAGGAGCCGAGTTACAAGGGGGGGGTGTTCAAACACCCCCCCCCCCCAGCAGGGCGTGGAAATCCAGGACCCCCAGCCGGGCGCGGGTTAAAGAAGGTATAAATACACCAGGCGGATGTATTTTGGTCAACAAAAACAAGACAAACAAGATAGACACTTGGCTAAGACCCCGGTTATGAAGTATGAGGGACTCGATATTAAGCGACCAATTGGCGGAGAAATATGTTAGTGAATCTCGAGAGACGCTCGAGGAAACCCAAGAATTGCCACCCTTGAATAGGCTGACAGCCGTGTGGAATAGCGACCTTGCAAGGCACGCTCAAATGATACAAACAACTCCGTGAATATGCTCGCCGAACAGCCGCTCAGACTGGTAAGGCTAACATATTCACGGCGCTATGCTATCGGTGGTTGGGTCCAAAAAGCGTATGGGGCATTCCACGTCAAATCGAACAAAAATCGGCTGTTTTGCACCTTACCATCAGCGATTTCATTATAAATTTGTGAGCGAGTTCCTGTGTGGCTCCGGACATTACATTGATGTTTTTTGCACATTCTGACCACAGGTCTTCTAAATATAGGGCACCAAATTTTTACAAAATGTTGCATCTTTATATTTTTGAACGACCATAACTTTGGTTGTACTTGTTTGATTTGAATGAAATAAACCTTACTGTTTAGGTAATTTCTTAAGCATTTGTTAAGAGTTGCACTAATTTAAATATATGACCTTGAAATTTGCTTAACTCTGTTCTTAAGCACAAATATTGAAATAGCAAAAAACACGTCACCTTCGATTTGGCTCATTTTCATATATTTTATTGCCTACTATATTCTTAACAACCTGTGAAAAAATTAGAGTGGGCCATTCATAAGTTTTGAAGAAAATTGCACATATGCAAACGTATGTTAGTACGCGCAGTGGAGGGGGAAGAACAAATTTGGCCCACCCCTCCTGTTTTTCGCCAATATCTCATAAGATTAATGCGAAATTAATTATGGCTACCTGTCAAGAATTGAATTGGGCATCTCATCGTGCAAGCAATAAGAAAATCGGTTCACAACTGTTCTAGTAATAGCGGTGTAAAGTGAACATCCTGTCGCCGCAGCAACGCGGCGGCTCGGCAGCCGGCGCCGACCGCTACGCGCCGCCTGAATTGTAGACTGTGCCGGGACGGAACGGAACGGTTCCGTCTTTACATCGCGCTCCCTACCGCTGATTACCTTCGATTCGCGTCAAATTTTGTGAGAAGACTAAGAAATGTACAGGCAATCTTATGGTGAAAGAATTTTGAAAATCGGTTGGTAAACAATTGAAATATGAACGTGTAAACACAAAATTGTGATTGCTGCGTTTCCCGCATCGGCCGAGCCCGCCTCAGCCGGCGACATGTTACTCTTAGCAGGCCTCTAACTGCCATATTTATTATTGGATTAACTAGAAATTCCCCATACATACTAAAAAATGTATGTTCTTTCGTATAGTGGAGATCAAAAGACGTGAAAATATCGTAGCGTGATAATGTTTTCGTTGAATTTACTTCATGATGCATTTCCACACGGCTCAAAATTCACCGCAAAATACCGTTTGCCTGAGACACTTTTACTATGGAACGTGAATGCTTGACTACGATGACTATGCATTTCCATTCTCGCAGAGTTTGGGATATCACTAATCAGCAATCATTCATTTCAGAAAGTGTACACAAGCAAGCATGTCTTGACTCTGTCTTTCAAGGTCACGCGCGGTTGCGTGATGTTGATGCATGAAAACGGCGTTTACCGCGAAAGTTATGAATGGCCCACTCCAATTTTTTCACAGATGGTTAGGAACATTGTGACGGACATAATATGTAAAAATTACCCAAATCGAAGGTGACGTGTTTTTTGCTATTTAAATTTTTCTGTTTTAATTCAAGGTCAAATGCATTTCAAGGTCACTTCAATTTAATTTTATAATTAAAAATCAAAGCCTTATCAATTGCCTATAAGACCCTGTTAACATCATTTTGATACCAGAAAAGGAACCAGAGTTATAGCCATTTAAAAAATTGATGTGTGGCATTTTTCGCTATATTCGGTGACCTATATCTCAGCGATACGTTATCAAATTTTGAAAATATTATACGTAACTCAGTTTTGAACCATGCCCAGTCTGCCTACAAATTTTCAGAAAAATCGAAGGGGATGACGGATTTCGGTGTTTGATTTGACGTGGAATGCCCCGTATGTGGAAACTAGCCAGACAGACGTAGCCCCAGATTTTGACCCTCGAATGCATATGCGTCGCCGAGTAAGACGACAGAATGCCTCTCAGACAAGACTGACGACGTCCCCAGCAAACGCATATAACATTCGAGGTCCCAACGCACCAGCCGCGACAACAGACATTAGACGCGTTTACATAGGGTTTGTTGCAAGCTTATATCTCCGTCCGTGATGTTGCAAAAGATGCCAATGGTGCTTAACAATTTACAGAATGATCCCATCTAAATATTTGAAGACCACTGCAACGAAACTATCCCCAAATTAACGAGCTAGAGCCTCGTCAAATATGCTATGTAAACCGGGTTATTGCCCGACTGCCCTCCGCCGGCGCGCCCTCACCCGACCTCGCCTCACAATCACGTGGTCAGCAGCCGACCAATCGCTGTACATACGAGTCCGCGACGCACAGCCCCGCTCCAGCGAGAGATGCTGTGCCGCAATACAGCGGCCGCGCGTCGGCCGAGGAGAAACACAGCCGACACAAGCGGGCGAAAAGACGATAACTAAATTCACTGAGCTCTAACACTTATTTTGTGAAGCCGATATCGGTGTCACTACACTGTACACTGTTGAAGTGAAGTCAGTTTCAGAAAATGTATGCCCAACGTCCGTGCAGAGTCCAATACTTACGTCGAACGTCCGTCCAAAAATGTCCAAGCCAGCCATTTGTCCAAAGATGTCCGAAACCGACGCAATAGTTAACCCGCGCCCCGTAGGGGGGGGGGGCGAAACGGCCCCCCTGTCCTTTTCCGTCGATATCTCCTAAACGGCTGCAGATAGGCTGCAGAATGCAGATGCAGGGGGACTATGAATAGTCCCCCGTTTTTCTGCAATAACTTCCAAACCGCTTGACGTATCGACGCCAAACTCTCAGTACCTTCGGCTGCATCAATTTGACACCTTGCATCAAAATATCAACTTCGTAGCTACCATAGGTTGGCCGGAAATGACGTCAAAGTGACGTCATGTTCGGCCGATTTCGACGCAAAACATTGAACCACGGCAATCGCTCCCAAGAGCTAAGTTTTTAAGATAGATCCAATTTCCGTGCATGAGAATACTCAGAATAGACTGCGCTATCGAACTGCTATCTCGGATTTTCAAAATTTTCAAAATTTTGAAAATTATATATAATGAAATTCAAAACTTCTATTTTCATATTTTTTTTCAAAAACTGTTTGACTTTTCAAAAACAACGGAATATATGTGATAGAACACATGCTTATGGCTTACTCTAGCAAGTTTTAGCTAAATATCTTTAAAAATGGCCAAGTTATTACGCATTATTGCAAACAATTCACAATTATAAATTTTTCAAACCAATTTTTGAGTACGTTTTTGACATTGTAGGCACCAATATAAATAGCACCATCGTGTTCCTGCAGAGCTCAATTTGCATCCAATAGACACCTTTTTTGTTGAAAAATTTTAATTTCAAAATTTGACCTTTTTACCTGAACGTAACCTAACCTAAGCTAAATTCAACTCAAAATGACCTCGAATGACACAAACGACATCAAATTCGAAATCTATGGACTAAATGGACCGTAAAACATGTGTCACGTGACCGACTTATGATATAAGATTTCCGTGACCTGTGATGACCTGACCCTGACCTGAAAATCAAAGTACAAGTTTGGTACCCTCAGGGTATCTAAAGTATCTATTCACGAGTGTGTAAACCAAAACTGAGCCTGATCTGACCAGTAAGACGGCGGCCAGAGCCCAAAATGTGAACAAGCCAAAATGCTAATAATTTTTACTTTGACATGACTTGTGACGTCATCAGAGACCTCGAGGTCAATGAAATTAGGTTTGCTCGACAGTTTGTCCGGGGCTATCAGACGCCGTTTGAATTTTGACGAACGGCCCAGTAGTTTCGGAGTTAGAAGGGGGGCTATGAAGAGCCCCCCCCCGTAGGGCGTGTTACACGCAGACCCCAGTGGGGCGCGGGTCAAGGCCCTATAATGTGCAATGCCCGGCTGGTGTGGCTGTTGCAGCGGTGGTCGTGCTGCAGCTGCTGTGCCAGGGCAGGTCGTGGGTGATCGACGGCCGCTCCGTGCCCGAGGACAGCTCGTACGACTACCACGAGGAGCGGCCGGCGGCCGGCGCCGCTACTGTGCGCCGCTACCTGCTGCACGAACAGCGGCCCAGAACCTACCTCATGTGCCCCCAACGGTTCGCCATCGAAAAGGTAGGTGCACACGTCACCCAGTCGTAGGAGACAATCATAGTTTGATGGCGTTGTCTTCTAATTTCGATTTAAGCCAGGTCGGGTCAAGTCAGGCCAGGTCAACCAGTAGCCGTCCTATCGGCTATCCATAGTAGGTGTCAACCACCACTGCCTCGTACCTAACATGTTACGAAGGCGCTATAACTACTTCGTCAATGTTCAGATCGGGGCCAAATTCGAAATCAGCTATAAAAAGCACTATAGAAACATGTAAAACTCGAAAAAGTGAACCGAGGTCATCAAAGGTCAATGACCTTGGCCTGACGGCTGACAATCACGTGACCTAGACACCCGCCATAATACATGGGACCAACGTCATTTCACATGTTTGAACGTTCAAAACCACAAGAAGACTGAAAAAGACTGGACAAAAAGACTGGAAACGCGCGGATAATGTAAGCTTGTACGCTGAATGAAATACGCTGAATCGTGATTCCAGCCAAACATGGTCTCGAGGAACAGGTCATGGGCGTAGGAACCTCACGAAACGTGGGAGGGCCAGCGAAACTTCAATGTCATTTTACGGGAGCCCCAATACCCCTATGAAGAAATTCTTTGCAGTTTTGTGCTCATCTCACCTTGCTGAACCATTTCGTGTATTTACATATATCAAAAATAAAGATTTTGCTTAAAAGTGTCTAAAATGTGAGGGGCCCTGGCCCTGGCCCCCTGGCCCTTCTGTTCCTACGCCTATGGAACAGGTCACCTGTCAAAGATCATTTCGGTCAGGATCATGAAATATTCAGGGTAGGTGTAAAATTGATAACCTCGAGGGTGTTGAAAGTTTCATCGCGATCAGCTGCTTATTTGCGTGAGTTATTTGCGAAAAACCGAGGGATGTCCTTTCGACCACCTTTCCCATACGTGCGAGGGCTAACAGATCTCCAACTCCAAGACGGTCTCAGATCGCTATAAACAATCATTTTTTCCCCATTGCGACCAGCTGTAGCTGCTGTAGCTATACCCATTGTAGCTGCTGAAGAATTAAAGACCACTTCAGACCCAAAGATCCTCCAGCTAAGGAGGGAAGGAGAGTCTTAGTTATTCGGTTATTCTATGGGAATTTCTGGAAACATTCTGGTAAAACTCGAAAAAAGTGAACCAACGTCATCAAAGGTCAGTGACCTTTACCTGACCTTTACGTTGCATTGGAATCAACTATAACGTTGCCATAAGGTCGGACCAACATCATTTCACATGTTGGGACGTTTACAATCACAATTGTAATATAACCACCAAAAAATAAAGGTGGCAAAATGTCAAGTCAGCTCGAGTGCCGGTAAATAGTTACCAACACTTCAAAACTGGTCTGCTTGTGTAATAAAATCACTATTTTTATTTATCGCGCTCATGTAAAACTTCTTCATGGATACGGGATGGAAAAAAGAGTCTTATTTTGCATTAATACATACAAGTACCCAATTTATTTACAACTATTTTGAACTTCCATTTTTTTTTTCTAAAATGGTCATTCAATACGACATAATGCGGAAGCGTTGCGTTGTCTGCTTGTGTTTTTTCTTTGTTTTCGGGGGCGAAGCTTGCTAGCCTGCTTTGTTAGCTTCGAAAGGTTTCGGGAAGAAGTGCATAGGGGAGTTTCCTGCCAAGTCCGTGAGTGCAGCTTCCGGGTGCGGTTCGTGGGCGCTCAATGACCACCGCTGCACTGGGGCTGGACGGGGGCGTCACGTCACAGAGCTGCGCCCCAGGGCGGCGCGGCGGCCGGCCGACCGCCATGACAGGCCGGCCGCGGCCAGGCACAGGGGCACAGTCGCCAGTCGTCACTCGTCAGTCGCTGCAGGACCGCAGCGCGGCGAGCGCCTCGCGCTGTGGCCGCCTCACGGCTCCCTCCGCCTTCCTGGCCGATCAGCGGGTGCTGTGCTGCTGTACTAACTGGTGAGTATGTGTGACGCACTTAGTTTATGGAGTGTGGATTCTTTGTAAATGGAGGCTGCGTATTGAGTTGATAGTGCAATATATTTCATGCAGCGTAGTAATTGAATTAAAGGGACCCTCCCACCTTAACATTAGATTTGAGTTGAGATAGCCAAAATGGGGTCCCTGGCTCACAATTACCGGTTTCGGCACTCACAACATCGAGAAATGCCTTAAATCGGAAATATTGAATTTCAAAATTGCAGCATTTTGATTCAGAGGGGCTAATGCTTAGGAATACCCCTCTGAATGTGTGACGTCAGCGCAAATATCTAACGATTTTTAAATGTTTGACTAAAACGTTTTGTAGCACGCGGTGGTATATGCTATTTGCGCGCAACATCTGCCGCAAACGCCGCACTTCTAAAATAAAGTCGCTAGAAACAGCGGAGATCCCAAAAAAGTAAACAAAAGTAAAAGTCTGATATCTTGAAAACCGGTGAATATTTTTCGGTGAAATTTGGTAGATATTTGTTTTCGCTCTTTCTGAACCGAGCGACATCACTTTCATGCCAATTCATAAACTTTTTTGAAGGTGGGAGGGTCCCTTTAAGTGAGGTCACTTCACGTACCCTGGCGACCTGATCTTCAAAGACCTGGGTCTGAAACATTCACATATGTGAAAAAGATGAAGGTGTGCCAAAAAAAAAAACGGCAGCGTTCAAATTCAAACACTCCCTGCAGGGCACGGGTCAAAGCTTCCAAAATGTTGTCATTGTGTTCCTTTTGGTCAGCCGAGTCAAATGCTATCCGATATGATGAAGTTAGTTGAGCTTAAAACTTATTAACTTCCAAGTTCACTTAACCCGCGCCCCGCTGGGTTATTCACTATTCAGCCATACGCGCCCTGCTGGGGGGGGGGCAGATTCTGCCCCCCCCTGTCGAACTTCCGAACCGATGGTCGTACAAAGACGGGGAAAACGGCAATCGAAATCTCTCAAGGAGGCGGATCTTAAGAGCCCAATTTTTTGCTTAAGTAGGTCAGAGGTCAGGTCAAGGTCAGGTCAGGGGTACAAAATGCAAGTTTCTACAGTATCGGCCTTGCACCGTAGTTGCCGAAGAATGGACTGAGACTAATTGCCCAAATCGTGTTCTTAGGCTACCAAGACAATATTCGTTGCATACAATATCATTCAAAGGTCAAGGTCAAGGTCAAGGTCAAGGTCAAGGTAGGCACACTCAATTAGTGAAATAGACCACATCTGGATGAATTTCAGGTCGAGGTCAGGTCAAGGTCGGGTCAAGTGAGGTCAAATTTTGAAGTTGGTTGTTAAGGCCTCAAAAGGTGTCTATCTGATGCAGTATTTCACGGCGAATCGATTGGTGCTATTTTTGTTTCCGGGAGAGGTCTAGAACTTCCAAAAAATTCATTTTTCAAAAATTTTGTGTGTCTTGACGTCATAAAACTTTGAATACCTAACTCCCACATTTTTTAACCGATTCTTCTAAAAATTGGTATGTAGGTGCACATAGACAACTTCTCTGACATATATTCCGGTTTATCCGATACCCTCAAAATTTTGGATGTTATAACTATTTTCCCAAAAAAAGACGAAGAAGAAGAAGAAGAAAAAGTGGGCCAAAATCCAAAATTTTCAAAAAAAAACGAAATAGCCATTTGATAGACAAAGTAGAATCACGTATAACCTTTTTTTGTTACGTCTTGATTCCCTTAAAAATGAAGATGTTAGCGGCGTTTGAAATTTTGCCGTTTTTGAGGCCAAAATCCAAAATTTTCAAAAAAAAAAACGAGATAGCCATTTGATAGACAAAGTAGAATCACGTATAACCTTTTTTTGTTACGTCTTGATTCCCTTAAAAATGAAGATGTTAGCGGCGTTTGAGATTTTGCCGTTTTTGAGGCGAAAATGGCGAACATGACGTCACTAAAACGTCATTTTCGAAAAAAATCGACGGATTTCGCTCAAATTTTCAGGGAACGTGTCAAATTGATGTATGATAAGGTACTGAAAGTTTGACGTCGCTGGCGTAACGCGTTTAGAATCCTGCTGCGTTTCAGTCGAGTTTTCAACTCGTTTTTACGATACATGACGCCGCAGGACGAGATGGAGCTCCCGTAAGCTGTAGAGGGATAGCTTACATATATAAGTGGGATTTGGGGTAAGTAGAAGGGCAGCGCGCCGTGGAGCGGGCGGTGGGCGCCACCCTGCCCGGCTGCCAGCCAGGGTTGTATACGACTCAGAGTTGAATCATGAATCGACTCAAGAATCAGTCGATTTTCTTCGAGTCATGAGTTGAATCGAATCAAAAGCTTTGAAATCAGAATGAGTCGTGAGTCGATTCGATTCACATATCCATAAGCCGTTTGAGTCAAAGGTTGAATCAACTCAATGAAACTTGAGTCATATGTTGAATCAATTCGCTTTGCCACTGAGGCTTGAATCAGTCATGAGTCGAAGTGATTTACATGTGATTAATAAACTTTAGATAAATATTAAATCAACTTGAGGAAACTCAAGGCATATAAAGATCAACTATGTACATCCAACATTTGCAAGCAATCATTGTCTCAGCCTGTATTGCCAGTATTTAAATTATCACTACCTATACTTTAACTTCTAATAAATGATCACAATCACTGTCACGACAGCTTACACTGTTTATCAACATGATTTGAACAGATTAACAGGATATATGTCTGGAAAGCAAATATGATTGGAAAATAGGCAAAAATTCCTAGTAAATTGTAAGTATCAACTCACTGCGACAAATATAAGTCCAGAATCCCAGTTTTGACTACATATACATTACAACAAAGGTTACATATGCCATATTTAGTACATAGTACTTTAATAAATTTAGCGTAATCAATATCAATATTGAAAATAACAGTAACTAGTCTCGTCTCAATCCGAGCACTTCAACTTCAACCCCACTTTCAACTTCAACTTTCACTTCAACCTCCTTTAAAAATAACAATGACAAATTTTAGGTCTTAACAGACATTTTGTAACAATGATTTTATTTATTACGTCATTAATATTTGACCGATGATGACCCTCGCATTGTTCACCTGCAATCTGTATTTTGGGCTAGTGACGTAAGATGTTTTTGCTTTTGATAAAATAATTGACAACCTTTGAAAGTCTTGACTGGTTTACTAGTAGGTATCCCGACACATTTTCGTATGGCATTTCTTCGTCCACAAAACTTCGTCCGCGCATTTCTTCGTATCCTCTTTTCTTGGTGTTCGCATTGTTTCGTCGGTGCATTTCATCGTAATCTTGCGGACGAAGATTTACGGAGAGGGGGAGAACACAATGCGTGACGAAGTTTTTCGGAGGAAGAAATACGGACGAATAATCGCGCGACGAAGAAATGCCATACGAAGATTTGTCATGGAATCCTTGGAAATTGTAGTCACGTTTACAGTCCGTGTTGAGTTTATGTTGCAGTGACAGTGAGTGAGTGCGTACTGTACGAAATAATCACAGAAACACATTCTATCTCTCACTTCCACATGTTTTATTATGTTTTGTTTTTAGATCTGGTCAGTGGTCAATAGTCATTACTGGGTAGGCATCATGGTTTTCTCATGTGGATTGTGATGTACCTACCTAACTACTAACTGGTGATATTGTAAAAGTTATTTTTAGTGCACGTTCATTTGTTGTAACTTCATCACAATTCACAATGCCCTATTTCTAGTGTTGACATGTTATATATTCACGTCAACAGTCAACACTCAATTTATATTTGCAAAGAAGTCCCTGCTTCTTATACCTACGTCTTGCCACATTTTGAACAGTTGGTATTGAATATTTCACTGCAATATTTACATAAGTTTATTGATTAATGCATTCACATTATTGCATTCCCATAATGCAAGTATGGGTTTTTTGCTTACAAATTCTTTTGAAAAATTTGCATAATATGTGATATTTTGATAGTGATAGCATGCATAATAACCATGCTTTGGTATATCTTTTTATACCAGTAAAGAAGTACAATCAGGATCTAATATAACATCCATGATCTGAGTGGATCTCTCGACAAAAGGTGGGATGTTGGATCTGTGATCTTGGTGGATCTTGTGATAAAATGTGGGGGCCGGATCTATGATCTCAGTGGAGCTCTCGACAAAATTAGGAGGGCGGATCTATGATCTCATTGAATCTCCGACAAAATCTAGGAGTCGGATCTATGATCTGAGTGGATCCCAGATCCAGATACATGGGATCAGATCTCGGATCCATTTTCCCGGATCCATGCACATGTCTGACTGAAAATATGGTTGAGTCATAATTTGAATCGAATCAACATTTGTTGTCATGTTGAGTCATGAGTCGAATCAAATGTTTTTCATGTTTGAGTCATGAGTCGAATCGAATCATATATTTTTTGTCATGCTTGAGTCATGAGTTGAATCGAATCATTTCGGTTAAGAAATTTTGAATCAGAGTCGAGTCGATTCAATTTTAGAAAAATCTCTTCTGAATCGACTCACCAAAAATTTGAGTCGTATACAACCCTGCTGCCAGCGGGGACGGCGCCGGTGATTCAGCTCCGAGCCGCCGCGCCGACCGGGCGAGACGGGCGGCTGCGCCAGCTGCGCAGTCTCAGCGGGATTCCCCCGTCCCGTCAGCCGGACGCCGATAGGACGGCATGCTTTCGCTCTCGTTTGGGGAACAGGTCTATCTCGGGTTTTCACGAAAAGCTGACGGAACAAAGAGAGAATAAACAAAGGGAATATACATAACTATGACTTACCCTGATGCAAGTACTTCAATGAATCCGTTTTAGTTGGAAAGCCTGGCGAAGGATCTAACAAGTAACAGCTGGACTGAATCTGTCAATTATGACAAACGGAGAGCGAGTGGAGGGGCGGACTGATGAGCTAGCACAATAGCAGGTACAAACGAATATGCAGAAACAGAGAATCAGACGCAAACGCGAAGTATAGCGTTTGAGGCACCCTTTCAATGCCGACAGACACCCCT